TGCTCGAAGGGCTGTTACTCTTGGTCGTTTTCACCACTGAACGAGTGAAAAAGCCTCCAAAACCTCTTGTTCCCCTGTCACATTTCTCATTGTTCTACTGCTCCCAAGACTGCCATGGGGCTGTGCTGCTCTCGGCTCAGCCTGCTCCCTCTCTTGTCTCTGCTTGTCTCGCCCGCAGGTGTGCGTGAGTAAGCCAGTTAAATCTGCACAGGGACACACTGGACCCAACGCACCAGAGAGAAGTTGCAAAGGATGAGGGGGTACGTGGCCGATATTTGAACCTTGTTGTTCATACTGGATACATTTTAACATGGGCCGAGTGACCGGCTAGAGTCCACCCCACAAGGGTTCAAAGAAATCATTGGCAGTTCCCTGGATGGGGATGGTACCACTGGGATTAGGTGCATTCTCCACGGTGACCAGTGTCTCTAGGACTGCGCTGTGGTGACGTACAGCACATACGAATACCTGGTTCAAGACTGACTTGTTTGTCAAACCTGTGCTGGGGAGCTTCCCCCTTGGTCCAGACCTGCCCAGGTGTGTTGTTCTCAGGCCACGCTGCAATGTTCGTGTACGTTCCTGATCCCATCACTCCTGCGGTTACTCAGTGATACGGTAGGTGTACTTGTAGTTACAGGGTTCAGCCAGTAGGGGTCTCCATGTGCTGCGTAAAGTTCCAGGTAGGCTGTGATCCCTGGTAAACAAGAGAGACAAAGCTGGGATTGAACCCTTGGCATAGCTGAAAAACTCAGCCCTGAGGCAGCTCCAACTGGCCTCCCAAAAACGGAGGCATCCAGAAATCAGTGGCCACCTTTGAAAATATGGTTGTCAGGTTTTGGGAAGCTGGAAGCGTGGCAGGGCTGATGTTTGCAGCAAGAGGGCGGCATTGATTGTCTTGGCATCTGTCACACATGGAGGCCCGGCACAACACGTTGTATCCCTGGAAGGGGCCCAGATGCCGGGCCAAGCGAAGTGATGGACACCGGATAAGAACCTGTATAGAATTGAACACAACTGGTTATTACTTCCTGGATTTGGGCTGATGGCTCCATATAGTCACATGGCTGTACTTTTAACTGATGACAAAGACACGTTATCGGGCCAGATCCTCAGTGGGTGTAAATCCGTGGTGCATCACTGATGTCAATAGATCGACGTTGACTTACGCCAGCTGAGGATCTGGGCCCCAGAGCTTTGGATAGGTGATTTTTTGCATTCATTATAAATTCAAATAAATGGCTGTATCTCCAGGCATTTTCTAAACCATCCTCACGTAGCACATCCCTGCTCTGCTAAAAAAGGAGCAGTTTATAGTGTTGTATTTTTATTTCTACTCTGGTTTTTCTTTGCTCTAAGTCCAGGATATCACAGACCTGTCACAGATACATATTTCCCTCACTCTCTGGCCTTCTCCACCCCCCCCTCCCCACTTCCCCCCCGGTCACAGGAGCGGCTTTTGGTCCTTGTGGCTTAGAGGTGATTATTGTGGCTGTGTTACTGGCACTTGCTGCGATTGTCTTGGTGACGTGTTGGATAGAAAGCCCCAGAACAGCTGAACTGCTGGGACCCTCTGAGTCAGAGCAAAACCACATTGCAGATGTTGAAGAAGGTGAAAGGAACAGGCTAGGGAAATCCGTCTTGTTCTTAGCTCTGAAAGTTTCTCCTTCCTCATCCTCTTTTGTAATCTTGCAAGTTAAATGTTGCTGGGACCTTTACTGCCACAGACTCCCTGTGTGACCTCGGACAAGTCACTTCCCCCGCCTCTGTGCCTATTTCCCTGTCTGTAAAATGGGAATAAAAATGCTCACCAAAGTATTCAGAGCAGGGGGCTACGGCAAATTAAGTAATTCTGGCAAAAGCATTTTGGGGTCCTTGGATGGAAGGCACCAGAGCTGGGCAGAGGGTTATTATTAGGTTAGATTGTGACTCCTTCTGAAAAAGAGCATGCTTGATGTTCATTAAACTCACAGGCCACTGTGTATCCCGTTCCCTCCCTGGCTGGGTCTCCAGCTTAACCCCAGGGAATTTCAGGATTCATTCTCTTCTTGCCTTTCCATGGTTTTATTGGGTTCTCTAAACTCTATTGCAGAGGTCGGCAACCTTTCAGAAGTGGTGTGCCGAGTCTTCATTTATTCACTCTGATTTAAGGTTTCACGTGCCAGTCAGACATTTTAATGCTTTTAGAAGGTCTCTTTCTATAAGTCTATAATATATAACTAAACTATTGTCGTATGTAAAGTAATTAAGGTTTTTAAAATGTTAAGAAGCTTCATTTAAAATTAAATTAAAATGCAGAGTCCCCCAGACCAGTGGCCAGGACCTGGGCAGTGTGAGTGCCACTGAAAATCAGCTCACGTGCTGCCTTCGGCATGCGTGCCATAGGTTGCCCACCCCTGCTCTATTGGTTAGAGAGGGGACTGAGAGCCAGGACTCCTGGGTTGTCTTCCCCACTCTAGGAAGGGAGTGTTATCTAGTGGTTAGAGAAGGGACTGGGACTCAGGACTCCTGGGTCCCATTCGTAGCTCTGGCACTGACTTGCTGTGTGATGTAAAGCAAGTCATGTCCCTACATGCAAAATGGGGATGTTTCCTTTCCTGCCAGGCTAGTGTGAAGGTCGTTAATTAATATCCATAAAGAGCTTTGAAGTCCTCTGCTGGATGCAAATGATAATGATTTCAGCTGTTGTTGTAGCTGAATGCCGCACAAGGACGCTATTGGTTGTCTCTTACTTCTTTTGACTCATGTATGCTTCAGCATAAGAGAGCTTCACCAGGACAGCCGCTAATCATTTGTGAAACTCACAAGCCCCCAGAGCTCAAACACAATGACACTGCAGTGTCTTGCTTGCTGGCCTTCTCTTGATGCAGTGGCATAATGAACCCTTGAATAATAAAGACAATTAACACCAAACCTCAGTGGTTTAAATGTCCCAGCTACCGGTGTCTGCTGGTGGATGGGAGGTTGGAAAAGATGCTTCTAAAATTGAAGGGTTTTTTAATTGTAGATACTTTCTATTTTAAAAAATTAACTAACTTTAGTGTAACTGTTTTAGAATACAGGTAATGCCGGGGGGTTAGCTGGCCCATATTGGTAAAAAGCAATATTGGTAAAAACCTGAAGCAAATACTCACCAGCAACTACACACCACACCACAGAAACACCAACCCAGGAACCAATCCCTGTAGCAAACCTCGTTGCCTACTCTGTCCCCATATCTACTCTGGCAACAGCATCAGAGGACCCAACCACATCAGTCACACCATCAAGGGCTCATTCACCTGCACATCTACCAATGTGATA